ACAGAGGATTCTGCATACATTTTTAGTTATCATCATGATCATCATGATCAAAGTCGTGCATTCAATATACTGTATTACTGCAAGCGTCTTTGAGTTTCCTGAAAAGCGCTATACAAGTCTCATGTATTATTATTATCATCATCATGATCATCACGACTCACCTGCTGTAGGTAGGATTCCAGGCGGTCGTTGAGGTTCTGCATGGTCAGCTTCTCGTTGAAGATCACTGCGCTTTCACTGAAAGGGTTGTGTGACCCGGAGGTATAGAAGGACTGGGAGATGCGGGTCCCGTAGCCCCCGGCCCCCCCATACACACTGGGAGAGCGGCCCTGCATCAGGGGCCCGCCGGTGGGGAGGAGGATGCCCTGGCTGCCTCCCACCGACTGCTGGAAGCCTCCGACCGACTGCTGCATGCCTCCTCTCTGGCTCAGGGAGCTGCTGGTCACGCTGCGGGCGCTGTAGCTCCGGCTGCTCTGGCGGCTGCTCTGGCGGCTGAATGAGACAGACATGTTGGAGGTGAGGATGGAGGTGGAGGTGACCTGGAGGTGATGAGCAGAGCTGGAGAGTCTCCAAGGAGTACCTGAGTCTGCGACAAGTGGGCTTTTTATAGAGAGGAGGAGAGAGGAACCAGATTGAAGCCATGCCAACAATGTGTGGTATGCAGACGACTTGTGTTGACTAGTCGAGCATTAGTAATGCTCTTTAGGCGACAGGTTGAACATCTAGTTAGGCGGCTTGATGGTTAATGATACCGTGCCCAAAGCCTGGTATGTAGATAACAATTTGTTTTCCTTCTGTGTCAGTCATACTTTGGCTGAAGCTCAGGTATTTCATGTGTGGACAGCTAAAATAATTAAATACAAATAATACTTTTGTCACTAGCCTGTATTCAGTGCTTTGAAAGGGATTTCCTTTCCCTGTAGTTTGATATACAAGCTTTTGTGCATGTAAGTGGTCAAAAAATTCCAAAGTTTTTCTACCACAACCCTAACCCCCCCCCAGCCTGAAATGCCTCCATTGGACTCCTTTGTTAACTTCTGTAACATAATAAGCGCTTTAGACAGAAGGTGAAAAGAGGTGCTGAAGCACAGACAGTATGAGATCAATAAAGAGCTTTTGCAACATTAAAGCATGTAACATTCATTCAAGTACATTTCTAGCATAATAAATAAATACAATAATAAGAATAATACAATAATGCCATATATATGTCAAAAATATTATTAATAAACTAATGGGACAGTATGGCAAACAAAGAAATAAAACGTAAAAATATTTAAAATAAAAACCAAGTTATATATATATATATATATGCTGTAGAAAATGTCATAATATATTATGTTTTAAAAAGTAAATAAGAAAGTCATAGTATAGTATGTCGTTAAACAGTCAAAGTAAAAACCAGAAGCCTTATTTCCATTGTGGTCCTAAAATAACAGAACAGCACAAGATGAAACAACACGACCACAGGGCAGACATTACATATATATATAAATAGCAGATAGCAGGGATGAGAATTAAATGAACTGCATGGTACTTTGTAAACAGGTCTTTAAGGTCACTTTTAATGTGCTAATACTGTGTTGATAAGCCTAGAGCACAGCGGAGCTTGGTGATGATGCATGGTGTCATAACATCCACCTGCACCACCATTACTGCATCCTCACCTCAACCTGAGAGAGAGTTGGCAGGGACGCCAAGACTTTAGTTAACCACCACACATAGTTTGGAATATAATTGCTTTCTGTTTTATTTTTAACCTTATTATTAATTCCCTTCCTAAGAAGCAAAGGGAGTGGGACAGGAACTCAATGACACACACACACACACACACACCTTTTTCATAGGAAGCTTATTCACCATTTGGCCAGAGTAAAATCTAAAATCTAAATCAGACAGCAGACCAGTGGCAGCAGATATGTGTGGCCTTCACTCACTTCCAGATTTAAGGCCATTAAAAGTCCACCATCACATATATAAGCTATTGGTTAAATGTGTATTTAATATCATAATCCAAGGCTTTCCAAGAGTTTGTTTTTATGTGTTTCAATGTGAAGCCTTCAAATAATTAAACTGAATTCAGCAAGTTATAAGCTCAGGGTATTATCATTTATAGTTAATTTGCATGTTAAAATGTTTTTCTTACAATCTCAGTAAACCAATCTTCTTTTCAACTGAGTCAGGAGAAAGAAATGTAAAAATACAAAACTTTTTGTCAAATGCTGTGATTGTTCATCTTTTGGGATATGATCAGAACCGAGAACGTAGAGAGATGAGCACCTATAGCAGCACAAATGATGAAGACATGTTTGTTTAAAATCACTATTACACAACCATGTCTTTTTTATGTTGTAGTAAAAGACTCATCAAAACCAGCCAGCCTTACAAGTTTAGCAGCTTCAAATTCCATGTGTGAAAATAAACAAAAGCAGCTACTGTATGAGGATCTGCTGCAGCCTGGTCTGATAACGTGTAAGTTGTCCACAGTGTGTGTTCATCAGATCTCAGTCATACTGTAGGTGTGTGTAACCTCAGATTATCTATTCACCTGAGAATTAGAAATATTGCAGCGGTCACAAAAGGTTCACAAATATCACTCCAACATCCTGCTGGATTTCTTTGGGCCAAGGTAACTGCTCAGATTTACTCATCAGCTAACACATCCCTGATGTATTGTCTGCAGGTGAACATATGCATGCAGATTCTCAGCTTTCCATTGTGTTGCTATCACTTGCACTCATAAATCAGATCAGGTCATAAAACAGATGATGCTTTCACTGCCTGGTAGAAGATATTGTAAAGCAGTGTCTTTTATATTTCCTGCTTTTCTCAACACAACACATGCTGTCAGTGGCAACTGGATACACAACCACTAAGCCACTTGTAGAAAATCTATACAGCATGTAAACAGGCTCCTTAGTATTTTTACTAAAAGGGTGGAGCGGCTGTCATCTGGAAAGTTTGAAGGTTTCATAACATCCACCTGCACCATCAGCCTGAGAAATAATTTGCAGATGCCAAGATGTTATTTACCCACCAGAACTAGTTTTTAATATAATTGCTTTCTGTTTTATTTTTAACGTTATTATGAATTCCCTTTCTGAGAAGCAAAGGGAGTAGCATGTGAACTCAACAACCAAAACACACACACACACACACACACACACACACACACACACACACACACACACACACACACACACACACACACACACACACACACACACACACACACACACACACACACACACACACACACACACACCTTTTCATTGGAAGTTAATTCAACATTTGGTCAGAGTAAAATGTTAACACCAAACTCTAGAAAATATGTGAATCCGCTGCACCACACCCATCAGGGGAAAGTGACAGCAGGCTTTGCACGCACATATGTGTGGCCTTAATCACATACAGATTTAAGGCCATTATTACAGATATACACTATAGTTTAAATGTGTATTTAGTATCATAACCCAAGGCTTTCCAAGAGATCGTTTTTATTGTTAGCAGCTTAAAATTCCACATGTAAAAATGAACAAAAACCAACCGTGTGCATCTGCTGCAGCCTGGTCTGATAACGTGGGTAAATTGTCTACAGTGTGTGTTTATCAGATCTCACTCAGTCATGGCCGTATGTCAGATTGTCTATCCACCTCAAGATTATTAGAATAACGCTGAGGTCACAAAAGGTTCACAAATATCACTCCAACATCCTGCTGGATGTCTTTGGGCCAAGTTAACTGCTCAGATTTACTCATTAGCTAACACATCCCTGATGTATTGTCTGCAGGTGAACATATGCATGCAGATTCTCAGCTTTCCATTGTGTTGCTATCACTTGCACTCATAAATCAGTACAGGTCATAAAACAGTTGATGCTTTCACTGTCTGGTAGAAGATATTGTATTGTCTCCATTCTGTTTCCTTCTTTTCTCAACAACACATGCTGTCAGTGGCAACTGGACACACAACCACCAGGCCACTTGTAGAAAATCTATACAGCATGTAAACAGGCTCCGTAGTATTTTTACTAAAAGGGTGGAGCGGACGTCATATGGAAAGTCCAGGCCACAATGTTACATGGTGAAGAATCACCTCCAACCAGTCAATAAATATATCATATATCATATATTTTAATGGATTTTTGGTAAGAGGCCTAAAATAAGTTATGTTGCTAATTGAAGTCCAAGAGATTTAACATTTAGTTCTACGACATGAAATAGGTTGTTACATTTCTCCACTCATTAAGGTTTTAGGTGTTTTAAAAATGGCAGTTGCTAACAGGTAACTAAATTAGACTATTTTATGTAATCGCACACGTGTGTCATTTGCTTATAGGTGGTGGCGTTAACCTAGTGACCGTGATATAGCTAGCTTATTACTTTAGCTGATTGCATTTAATTACAACACAAGTTCTGATAATTTGTTCTGATTATCTTTCTCAACAAAACAGGTATAAAAAGTTGTTGGCCACCAATCTTATTTTCTGCAATAATCCAAAACCCCATGGAAAATAGCCATTGGGCTTTAGTCAACAGAACAAAGGTTATGCTAACTTCTGGGTTGGCTAACAACATGTGCCTCACTTTGTGTTGTGTTTGGGTTCAAATCAAGTAAACTATATGCTGCATTGAAATGGAAATGATCAAATAGTGAATGTGAATAGTTTGACTCATACTAACCGCTAAGAGGAAGCTAGTTTTCAGTGGCTACACAGATACATTAGCCCCTCTGACTGGCTCACAAAAAGCTCTAAAGTAGTATTGGATTTCTTATGTTAACACATTAAGTGATTGTATTGTTACTGCAGTGTAAAACAGGCATTTCTAGGTTAGTGAAAAGCATAGTAATAGATTTGTGGATGTAGTGGTCCATCACTTCCCTTACGCATATCCTCCCGGTGCTTCCGTCTACCAATCGATGACTGTTATCTGTCTTTGATTTTAGGCCACATCACTCGCACTAACATTTGGGTATAAAAAGGGCCGATCTGCTCGGTGTGCACCAGAAGCATCGCAATTGTTGGATTCTGTTTTGCACCATTTGTTTATACACCCTTCAAAGGAAACAGGTAACTACTCTTTTCTTCCATATGTCATCTTTTTAGATTTGGGGTGATTGCTAGTCTGTAGATTTTCTTAACAAATAGTTACCGTTAGATAAAGTCATCTGCTATTTTTTAACATAACATTATATATACTGTATAATAATATTTTAAACACATGGATAATTAGTCATTCAAAATAAACGTCCTTCTGTAAGTAAACAACATGGGGAATTTCATGGTAATATTTACAAAACAGGTTTTCTTTCTAAAAATCTAGAATTTGTTCTCCTACTGTGAGTCAGACATCTCCACTAAAGTAGCACAAAATGTTGCTGTTTCATTTCTATATTTTGTTAGTTTTTAGTGAGGGTTAAGCGGGTAAATAATGTATAGACTGATTTAAAGTGCATTTTATCTAAAAAATAACAACATGGCAATCTTTTTTTAAAAAGCTTTTGATGTTATTTTCTGATAAATGGAGTGAAGATATATTCAAAATCCTCTATGTCATAACCTTTGAATTGCACATGTCAACTAAATCAAACAAGCATTTTGAACTCAGTACATCCAATGTTCAATTTCTATTTTGGAGATGATAACATAGCACATAATTATTGAATAAGATAGAGCCTCATTTGCAGTTCAGGAAACTTGATCAACCAAAAATCTTCATCCTAATTTTAGAAATCAACTAAGGAGGCTTCTCGCATATAGCTTTTTGTATACATGTTTATCAAATTCACCTTTATGTCACCCTTCAAGTAAATAACTTTTATCTTCCTGTACACAGTCATGTCAGGGAAAGTCATCGTGGTGTTTGCACTGTTGATGGCTCTGCTGGTATCATCCGGAGAGGCCAGAGAGGCTGGTCTCCTGCAGCTGCTGGCAAAGAGAGACCCGGCCGGCAGACAGGAGCCGGCGCCGCAGGCCTCCCCTGCACGGCCGGCGAGAAGGGCACACCTATCAGAGGACGATAGGGAGATTATGACAAAACAAATAATGCAAGCAATTTCAGGTATGCTGCTGGTCGGGGCGTGAGTGTTCCTCTGATTGTTTGATTGTATAAATGAGTGGGCAGGGATCCAAAGAGATGCTCTGATGTGTGTACTGAAGCCTTGTGTGTGGTTCATGTAGGAATGGTTTGTTCACAGAGATGAACTGCATGTCGGACCGGGACTACCAGGGCTGGGTGGACTTCGGACGCCGGGACGCAGAATGAGACACGCCGACAGCGACCCGACAGCTCAGACTCACCTGCTCTTTGTTCACATTTTCTATAAAAGTCAATGTTCTGCTTTCACTGCAACTTTATAAATAAAAACATTTAGATGAATAATCAGTCTTCTTCACTGTACGTTGTAAAAGAGGGAAGTGTAAAACTGGATGGAAATGCAACGTTTTTATTCACAGGTGGTATACACACACTGACATTAACAGCTGTGATGCTAACATAGAACAGAGCAAACACTAGTGCAGTTTGGTTGATTTACGTCATAACACACATTAAGGGATAAGATGTGTTTATGATTTCTTCCCTTTCAAATCCACAGTATCCCATGCCTTTTTGCTACAGTTGATTGTTCGGACAGATTTCAAAGAAACATGCCGTTTTAAATCACTCTACTCGTCTTTAAATAAGGATTCCCCTTAAAACACAGGGAATTCACTTTGAATGCCCTTTCTTTTTCATTATATCCAAGCAATTTCAAATGTCCTGATGTGAAATGCAGCAGATTTGTACAAGCAAGATTCTCAGTCAACGCAGTGCAGTAAATATATATTGCATTTAAAAATCCTTTTCACTGTCTTTAATACAGTGAGGCAACCTGATTTATTTTTGGTGAGTTTTGCTCACGATCAAGTTAAAAAAGTCAATTCTCTGTGCAGCCAGAACAAATAAACTTCAGAGCAGACGGCTGGATGTCAAAATCATTAACATTGTATATTTCAGTCAGTGCATAATCACAATGCCTCTTAAACTCTTATCAATACAACATGCTCTGCTCAGTGTAGCAGCTAATAAGCAAGAAGACCAGAGTGTTTTTCAGTGGTTATTTTTTTAAAGTACTTCAGTGTGAAAGCAATGGTTTGGTTTGGTTTGATGTTCAAACTAACAATAATTTACTGCATATAGTTTTTTCATAACTTCCCAAAAGACAATTGTGTTACAGTATATACAAGGGATGTTCCAGTTTGGAAAAATGACCTTTTAAAAGAGACATATCATGTTAATTTTCATGTTCATACTTGTTATTGGGTTTCTACTGGATATGCTTTGATATGTCTGAAACGTTTTAGCACCTGTCTCTTTAAGGACACCTCTTAAAAAAAGTACAGTCTACTCTGATTGTCTTAAGGGAATAATATGGTGCAACTTGGTGAAGGTAAGGGGAGCATGGCTTTTTGAATCTCATGTTTCTGACCATGGCAGCCCAAAGAGTTTTATTTTACAGTTTTCGGTTGTTACTCACTCCAGATTCACTCCAGACAAGTACATTATAAGTGTGTTTTTACATGATATGTCCCCTTTAAAACCAGCGGCAGGCAAAATATGTATAATAAAAATCACAAAACACAGTATAAAAGGTTTTTTCCTCATGATTTTTTTGTGAAAAAATAAGCTGTTTCTGCAGGTTGCAGTCAAACAGACTGGTGATCAGGTGATGTTCCTGAGATGAATGTCACACACACACAGCTACTGTACACACATTCATACAAAATAATATAACTGTACACTACCAACAACTTTAAATATGGCTCTAGCACATTCTGTGGCGTTTGTCAGAGCTGTGGGTTCTGAACGGCACACAGCGGGGAACACATGGCTGGTTTTAAAGTTAATGAACTAAGAAGCAGTCCGGTTTAAACTCTTCAGAGGAGGTTTGACTGCTTCTCTCTCCCACTGTGACCCGTCATCCCCAAAGCTGCCACTCTGTGCAACCCCAGACCTTGAAGTTTCTCCACCAAGTTCAAACTGAAAGCGTTCCTTCTCCCCTCTTTGTCAGATTGTAATCCTCCACTGTTGTCCCTCTCTGTGAATGGTGAAGGTTCTGAACTGTGGCTGTAGTGCAGGCAGTGGTGAGGATGAGGAGAAGATGAGATGCCACGCTCTTGCAAAAGCTGCAGGAGTCCCAGCGATGAAGTGGTTACATTTGAGGTGTTCACAAGCTCACAGTTCCTACAAGATGGCAGGCCGAAAGAGCGAAGGCTGCAAACAGATACAAAATAACAATAATTAAAAAGAAGATCACAATAGATAAGAAACATGTTTTGTTTTTGCACAAGCTCATACACAAATAATAAAACAGGCAAGACAATGTTAAAAAAAACAGTTCATTTGTTGTTAGTGTCTGTTGACCTTGCTGTGAGATGGAAAAATGTGATGTTAGTGAGTCAGCTGTGATCACACAGGATCTGATGGTTATCTGAGACGAGAACCTAGAAAGGTTAAGCAAGATTAAAATGTGGAGAACCAGTTAGTGCAGTTAGGAGGAGGAGACGGAAGCACAGTGCGTGATGTTATCTTGTTAAACTAACTTGGCACTGTGCCTTTCTCAAAGCATTTTAATCCAGCATTCAGTGTAACCATAACCCTTCGACTCTTACTTTGCCTCGAAGGCGCCTTTTAGAGTTGGAGGAAGAGCCTCGACAGGCGCTTTCTGCCGCTGTGGGGAGTAAAGAACAGTTGGTAAACAGGGAGAAAAAACAGCATGGAAGACAGGAAACCAGGAGTCATTCAGTGAAGGTCACCCTGCAAAAAAAAGTTAAATGAACACAAGTACTTCAAACTCAAATTCAGGGCTTCAGGGGCCCCTATTATGCGTTGGGTTTGTTTCCCTTTCCTCTAGTGTGTTCTATAGGTTTGTGTGCATGTAAATGGTCTGCAAAGGTTAAAATCCCAAATGTCACTATGTAACACTCGCACTTCTATTGGTTAGCGCTCCAACACATTGTATGTGATAGGCAAAGGGGCGGGACATCTCTTAGAGATAGACCAATCACAACAGAGCCATCCAGCTAACCAAACTCTAGTTCAGGTAGAGGGTGAAAAGAGGTGCTGCAGCAGGCAGTATGACATAATAAAGAGCTTTTTGAATTAAAGCATGGAGACACAAAAAACAATTGAGAAAAATAGCAAAATAGAGCCCCTTTAAGAAACACACAAAATACATCACAGCACGCTTAAAAAAACACAAAGTCACTAATACAGCACATCACAGTATGTATATTCTTACCTAGTGGAGAAGGAGGACATGAGGAGGGAGGGTTGGAGGACTTGGCAGGTGGTTGTTAGATGTGAGGGGGGGGTCTGAGGGAGTTTGGATGGAGAGGCTGCGAGGTCATGGAGGGAGAAAAGGCACATTATACTACACGTGAAAAGGATGTTCAATGAGAAACTACGAGAGCTAATTCAGCTGAAAGTTACACTACAATTAAAAGGGGAGTAAAGTTTAAAAATGAAGGAGAAAAAGCCATGGATTTGAAGGGGATTGATGCAGTTGTTAGTAGTGTGTGTGGTGTGTTTGGGGGTCGTACCCATGCCATGTGCTCCGGAGAGCTGCGACAGGTCAGGCTCGTCCTCCTCCAGGTCGTTCAGACTGTAGACGTGCTGTATGTCCACCTCCAGCTCCCTGAAGTCCTTCGTCAGGACGCCGGGGCGGGGGTGCAGGATGCCCCCCAGGTTGGGTTTGGCCAACTGCTGCCACTGGTGCAGAGTCACCGAGCCTGAGGAGAGTCAGAAAGGACGGAGCAGGAAGCATGTTAGCACATCATTTTATTTGTACGTTGTTGCTTGATCTATGTTGCTTACCTTATATTGCTTATTTTGTTTGCTTTTTTTTTTTATCCAGGTAATATTTTTCCAGTAAACCAGACGATTTTGTGTGTGTTGTTTCAGAGACAAGATTTTTAGATTTTAGGCCTATTTTTGTTATATTTATATTTTATTTGGCACAATCTCCTTCACCTCCCCCTCACTTAAAGAATATGTGTTGCCTTTATTTTCTTGAAAATAAAAACACTTGTTTTCACTTTCACCCTGACTCCCTTAACTGTATGGGTTGTTGTGTGTTACTGTCTCTATTTCCCCCTATTATTTAATGGGGATGTACGTAACACAAATCTTTCATGTACATTTTTTTTTTAACTAGTTTAAAAAAAAAAATGTATTGTTAATGTCTAGCATGGGTAAAAATATCCTTCTTTTTTTTATAAATCAGCAGTGGCTTTTGGTAATACACACTCTTAACCGGATTTGCTAGGAGGGTACAACAAATACAAATAAATGTTATTGGAAGAGATATGAATTCAGGAAAGGGCAAGAACCGAAATCCCAAACGGCAATGGTTGTGGCATAAGTAGGCAAATGTTAATATTAAAATGTAATCAAGTTATGTAATATTACCTTGGTTCAGTGGTTATAGGCAGACTGCTTATATTTTTTGGTATACTAACAATACATGTTCCTTTTCATGTTTTACATCTATTTTTGCTAGCATTTTTTCTTTGTCCCTACACTTTTGTTGTATGATTTCACATTTCTCAGAGTGTTACTGCAACCATCTAATGTTAAAGAGCAACTTCCAGGTTAAAGACACCTGTGAATAAATGTGGAGGAAAATGATGAATACACTAGATTTTCAAAAAAATATACAGAAATATACACTACAGTGACATCTATAGAGATAAGTCCGGCCGTGCATCACGGCTCTTTGAAACATCTCTGTTCCCGGAAATGCATCCACGAAGGAGCCGTGGAGGACCCATCAGTGTATCGGTTATAGCTCCTCCAGAGAGCCTCCTCGACGCTCGATCCTCGGTCCTCGAAGTGCATTTAGAGAAATGAGATGTCCTTCAACATGGCGCGCTGAAATTCATATCCGGGTCACTACCGGAGGACCGAGGAGTCGAGGAGTCGAGGAGTCGAGGAGGGGGATTTGATGAAATGATAAAGGGCCTATGTCTTACGGTGCCGTGTACCGGAGGGGAGAGAGAGAGAGAGCAGCGAAGGGGGGGGGGAGAGAGATGTAATATGGTTTCCTGATAAAGCTGTGGAGAGTATGTGCTGCAGGGAGGTGGATGCACAACGTAACCAGGAACGAACGCTAGCTCCGGTCCTTTTCCCGTGAGGGAAACTGTGGACTTGATGTCCTGACAGGCTGGTATTTGTGCAACCTGCACAAACACAATACTGCACCATGATTACAAATGGTGAAATACAATGTAAAACTACCGAAAAATACCAGCTCACTAAAACACAACCGCTCAACTCAACGCAACTCTACTATACCCGCGGTCAGAGAGCGGAGATGTGTCCCCTGTTTGATGTAATATGACGCGTTTGACTTATGACCTTAAAAAAAAGCCATTTTTAAGAGCAGAGCTCAAAATTGCTCCTTTCCCTCTGAATTCCTGCCCTTATGTCTCGTAAAACATATCAAATCCTACATTCACTTTTTTAATTGTAATTTTCAAGCAAGTTTAAGCATAAATGTAGAAAAAAAAAAAACCTGCAAGATGCTCTTTAACTGCCTTTTGGTGACATCATCAAATATAGATACATATCATATGATAAATAGTTTTACTTTTCTATGGAGTAATTAACTATTGTTTGTTTCCCTTTTTCTTTAAAGAAAACATTTGATTTGTAAGAGCAGGGCATATTTGTACCTGTGGTTTTAGTTTAGTATCACAGACTTCAACAATGAGCATTGATTGTCTTGATGTATTTTTACCAGTAATAATAAATAATAATACATTTTATTTTTAGGCGCCTTTCATGACACCCAAGGACACTGTACAATTTGTTAAAAAAAAGAGAAAACGCTAATAGGCAACAGAACATGATAAAAACACAAACAGGAAATCATAGAGGAGACAGTCAAGTGGACACAAATGAAACATATAATGGGGAGCACTACAGTACATTTCTGGGCTCCATTTTGACTCCACATAAACTGGAATAAACTCCAAGAGACTAGAGGGTTTGGCTCACCCAGTTTTTTACTGGGCGTACGTAAAGGATACCGGTAGGATACCCTTTGGAAACTAAGTTAGTGGTACACCCGGAGCTAGCGCGAGTCGTGTCCTGTGTAGCACACACCGAGGAGTCCTCAGGTCCAGGATGGACGGGCTGGGACGAGACAGATCTAACAGTTATGAGAATGAAACCTTCAACAATTATGTGAAAAAAAGTGAACTGACGTCGCAA